GCGTCAAGGATTACGCTAGGCGGTATGTTCTTAAAAACAAAACATTGACCCGGGTCATTTTAGGTCAGTGTTCTGTTCTGACCTCTAAGAAGGCCGTGGAAAGTGTTTGATGCGGTTCCTGTCATGAATAAATTAAAAATGAGCACCAGAAGCTACGTCATCTAGTAAGCTTGCGAGTAAAAAACGTTTTTTACCTTAATCTGACGTTCATATCTGACCCTGGGTCAATGAAGTTTTTCAATTCAATTGTTTTGTTGCCTAAGAGACTATCTCAGAGATGTATGGCTTCGTCTAACATTCATTTGTTGCATCACATTGAACGATTCTCTAAGAATTGCCTTCGCTGAAACCATTGCCTGACTTTGATCTGCTATAGTTCAGCGACCTTAATAGGGCCGTCTTAATATTTGCTACTAAAGGGTTTGCTATTTAATTTTTAAAAGCTAGTCCAAATGTGACGTAACTTCGTCACGTCGTGTTGAAATAATTCCGAAAAAATCTTCGGGGGCCAAATTAACCTCGGAGCGCGTGTTCAGGGCCAGATAAGGGGCCCAACGGACCCGAAAGGCTGACCGAAGGTTGTATGCAGGGTCCTCAGCCCGCGAGGCCGGCATTCTAATGACAGCCAGAATACCCCGCGCGCTGATCAGAGCTCCTGGTTCGGCAGGTGCCTATAAATCGGTCAGACACCGCTAGTAACGCACGGTAGGTTCAGTCGCGGCATGGGCCTGAGGGCCCGTTTCGCAAGCAGAAACAAAGCTGGAGACAGCGATGTACATTGGTCGAGATCTCAGCGTATGTGAGGGCCCTACAGCGCCTACTGAGAGCCCTGTGCTGGTAAGGGACCCCCATTCGGTCAGAGATAGTGTTCGAGGAGGCCGAAGAGCCTGGATGGCCCACCGAGTCCGACAATCAAGGGCCCAATTGGAGGGTCCAAGAACACGAAGAGCTGGTCGGGATCTTCTTCAGGGGCGCGAGTCTACGAGAATCGGCCACTCCAATGACAATCTGAGGGCTCTTTACGCCGATTGGGGATCCCCTGGGCCGACATGGGTCTACATGTCGGTCAGGCATCACCAGTACCGCACAGTCGGCTCCGTGTCGTTATGGGCCTGAGGTTTCACCTTCCAATCAGCTACAATGCCGGGGCCAGTGATTTACACTGGACGGAACCCCTGTATCCATCAGGGGCCTGCAGTGTCTAACAGAGGCTCCTTCCCCCCCCCCCCCCCTTAGATCCGAGATTCGAAGAGCCCCTCGGAACCTGCAATTAAGGGACCGACTTGTGGGCCTGAAGGGCCCGAAAAGCCAGCCGGAGGTCTTATTCAGGGGCCCGGCCCGCGGGGCCGGGCACTCCAATGTCAGTCAGCGGGCCCTGTGTGCTGATCAGAGGCCCACTGAGTCGATAGTTTCCTGTATTTTGGTCAGACACCACCAGTAGCGTACAGTCGGCTCACTGGCGGCATGGGCCTGAACGCCCATTTCCCAAGCAGGGACAAAGCCGGAGCCGGCGATTTGTATCGCTCGGAGCCCCACGGCGCTTAACAGAGGTCCTGTGTTGTCAAGGGGCCCGAATCGGCAGAGGCAGTGCTCGAGGAAGCCCAAAGGGCCTAGGGGGCACTCGGGTCCGAAGATCAAGGGTCCGATTGGAGGGTCTAAGGGCATAAAGGGCTGGTCAGTCTTATTCAGAGGCCCGCACCTGCAAAGATGAACCCTCAAATGACGGTCAGAGGACCCTTTTCGTTGATCGGAGACCCCGTGCGTCGATATGGGCCTACCTATTGGTTAGGCACCACCAGTACCGCACAGCAGACTCCGTGTCGTTATGGGCCTGAGGGTTCACCTTCCAATCAGCTACAACGCCGGGGCCAGTGATATACACTGGGCGGAACTTCTGTATCTGTCAGGGACCTGCAGTACCTAACAGAGGCTCCTGTGTTTGCAATGGGCCGCGAGCCGACCAAGGGCAATTTTCGATGAGGCCCGAAGAGTGGTCCGGGCGGCACAGCAAAACCGACAACCAAGAGCTCAGTTGGAGGGCATCAGAACCCGAAGGACTTGCTGAAGATCACATAAAAAATCGCAGCTTTTAGGGTTGCGACCTAAAATAGCATTCGAGGTCTTATTGCGCCGATTCAGGACCCCCCGAGACAATGCAAGAGTCTAAGTCAGCCAGAGACCACAAACACCAAACAGTTGACTCCCTGTCAACTGAACACTGAGAGCCCATTTCCCATGCGGGAGTAAGACCGGGGGGGGGGGGGGGGGCATTTGCATTGGTCCGGGCCCCTGAACAATGGTTGGGACCCCCGTGTCGGTCAGCGTCTCACATTGCCAACCAGGGGGTCATGTGTCGGCTAGTGGCCCGCAGCCGGTCAGGGGCTTTGAGGAGTTCTGAGGAGGGGCAAAATAGCCCCATGGGACGAAAGATTAATGGCCCGATTGGACTCTGGCCCGGTTCCCACCCATAGTGCCGTGACCTCGACACGAAGCCAAACACGGAGGATATAGAGCCTCAAAATGGAGTTAAACAGTCATGTCCATGCCTGTCTGAGCCATTGGACCTATTTTCCAAGCAGGAATGCGCCGAGGCCCGCAAATTGCAATGCTCGGGATACCTGACACAATGAGGGCTCCTCTATGGGTCAGGGGCCACAGTGCCTAACAGGGTTCCTATGGCGGCAAGTGGCTGCAAGCCGGCCAGGAGCTGTATTTAAGGCGGCCCGAAGAAGGGTCGAATGGTCTCAGAAAAAAGATCAAGGGGCCGATTGGATGGCTGAAGGGCCGGAAGGGCTGGCTGTAGGCCACGTTAAAGACGCTGCCCGTAGGGTCGTGATCTCAAATGTTAGAGGCCTTTTGTACGGACTGCGGACCACTGAGGCGGAGAGTTCCTTTATTTCGGCCGGAAATCACCATCACCAAACACTCGGCTACGTGATGGTCTAAGCTCTTGAGGTCCATTTACCAAGTAGGGACAAAGCCAGGCCGCAATTTGCATAAGTCGGGCCCCTGTAACAATGCGGCCGCTGTAACAATGGGCCCCAGTGTCGGTCAGGGGCCCAGAGTGCCTAACAAGGTGTTGTGTCAACAATGGGCCTCGAATCGGTCTGAGAAACATGTGCTCAACAGAAACGAGAACAGGATCCCAAATGACAGAGGGCCTCTTGCGTTGGTCGTGGCCCTCTGACAACGAAAGTAAACCTAAGAACATATCATGAGTGTTCACATTCAGACAATGGAAGGGTACTGTGTTAATCATAATCTCCAGTGTACCGAACGGGGGGCCCCATAACGCAATGCCAGCGCTGGAGTGCATGTGACAATTATTGGACCACCCGCAGCGAGCGGGGATGCTGTTGCGTCAATGAGGGTTCCTGGGTTGATCCGGGGAACAACTACGTGTGTCAGAAGGCCTCCTGGATAAGTGAGAGAAGCAATGTGTTAAAATGTATCCCTCTAACGGCCTCCAGATCGACCAGGGAACCCCTGCCCGCGTCGCCAGAATGGCAACCAGAAGACATTCTGCAGCATCCGTACATTGGTAACCATCCACATACAGGTGCGGTACGAGAAGGCA